CGGGCAGAAAGTATACATAGATAGAAATAAAAAAGTGTTAAATGTATTAATCTCTTTGGGCCATTCGATGATAGTCTCATGTTTTGATTGCTTACCACATGTGCCATGTGATGATGAAAGCCCGATGTTACGGACACTAGTGGTAAAGTCACCGGATTTCTGGTTCTAAATCTTGATCAGCGTAATGTTCAGCTGCTTGTCATGGTAGTTTCCTGGAAACTTGTTTGATGTAAGAAATGTTAATTAAAAAGGGACAACTCACTAAAACTAAGCTTCAGCCATTATACTCTCTCCGCCCAAAATAAGTGACACCAACTTTAATATAACTTTTTGATTATAGTCTCCCTGTATCAGTATAGCTTCCCTGGCTAATTTTTCATAAATTGGCATTAAACATCATTGTTGAGTACCACAAAAAGGTTTAACTTTAGGGGATTTTAACAAAAAGCCACAACTCTAGGACTAATCAATAACAAAAAACACAAATTGCTTCGACTAGTCACTTAATGAGAAATATGATGTGGCCCCCCAAAAAAGAGAGAGAAATGCTATGAAATAGCTAGTATCTCTTTGTGGGTGGAAGATGTAATAAGTACTTGGAGAACTTCGTTTAGTTGCTTTCTGAACAGCTTTGTTGCTTGTATTGACATCTGATCGTTTCATTTAGTATAATGGAGCCAGGGAGCTCCTGCCTGTTTGTCTAAAAAAAAAAAGATAAATTTGAAAATTTATACAAGAAGACAACCACCAAAGCAAACCGGCGATTTACAAATTCCACGACATGTTACCAGTTTACAGTTTTATATGCATCTACAACCACGAGTAATTGTAATAATTCACAATAACCATTCTAAACCTCTCCTGGTATATATGGACACAAATCCATGGTTATATACCAGGATCCACGCCGTGCATGCAGATTAAGCTGCCCGGAAAGCCACTATGTGCACGTTCGACCATGGACAAGATCGCGTCGATGAGCTCATGCCGTCTCGTGGTCGGTCCTCGCCGCCGCCTCCGATGAAGGGGTCGACGGCGGCGTCGCGTCCTCCTCGTCCTCGTCCACGGACGGCAGGCTCGGCTCCCACGGCCTCGTCCACTTCTGCGCCTGGCTTATCCTGCCGGAGTTACGGCACCCCGTGCCCGCCGCCGCGTCCGGCGTGCCGTCCGTCTGCTTCGTCTTCCTCCGCCTCTTCTTGTCCTTCTTCGCCGGCCCGGCGGCGCCCTCCTTTTTGACGGCGAGCCCGCGGTCCACCATCCTCTTGAACTGCCACTCGGCCCAGAGTTCCCGGTTCACGAAGTAGTCCCTCGCGCAGCACCCCTCCGGCGTCGCCTCCCGCTCCTCCCCCGACCACGACGACGAGGACATGTCAGCGTCCGTGTCCGCGTCGTCCGTGGACGACGCCGCCGCGTCCTCGTCCTCGCGGTCGTCGTGGTCGGGGTTGGCCCCGACGGAGCCCTCGGGGATGTCGCGCTGGAGCCGGCGCACGGTGGTCTCGGGCAGCAGCAGCACCTTCTGGCCGGGGAAGAGCGGCTCGAGGGGCCGCACGGTGGCGCCGTGCGGGTTGCGGAAGACGTCCGGGTGCGCGAGGCAGAGGCCCGGCGGGTGGTTGCCGACGACGGCGCAGGCGAGCACCACGCCCGCGTACACCTCCACGATGCCGCTCCAGAGCACCACCCGCACCACCGAGTCGGCGGGCCACGTGGAGCCGGCGCTCGCGCTGAGCTCCACCGACGCCGCGTAGCCGTCGGGCGCCCGCCGCCGGCCCCCCATGAGGTACGGCTGCTGCTTCTTCCGGCCCCGCAGGGCCCGCGGGATGTACCTGGCCAGAGACGCCTTCGACGTGCAGCTGCCGCTACCGCCGCCGCCGCCATGACGAGCCATGGTTGCTGGGTACGTGGGGGAGAGGAGAGACGGATGGATCGATCAGGTGGGGAGCTTTGCTCGGCGCGGCGTGCGTGGGTAGATATAGCAGAGGCAGGGAGGGTCTTGCCATGGCTCCTTGGTGTTGTTGTCGGCTTGCTCTTGTCGATGCGGCGCTCCTCGCGATCATCAACGCTATGCGCTCTTCTTGTTCCCTGGCCATCGGAAGCGTCGACCGATGGGTGCAGGCTGCACGCCTGCACGTCGGCGGGTGGTGCACGCACGCGCACACGCACGGCGGCCAACGATTGGCTGGAGTCGAGTGGGAGTTGTAAGGTATTTTAAAATTGGAAAAGGCTTATAATCACCCGGCGGATTGCAGCTCCCGCCTCCGCCATCTTCCCTGCACGCCACGTGCCCCACGGGCCACTACTACTAGATTTGCAACTGACCCGTTGTTGCATTCTTATCACCCCAACAACGGGTCTCTTGCAGACCGGGAAAGATGAAGACAAGGCAGCGACATCCAAATCCCTGCAACGCTGAACGAGAGACGTGCGTCGCCCGACGCTTTGGCACCGGCAACCACTCACCTCCCCACAGAGGAGGATAAGGCGACGAGGTTGCAGCCGGAGTCGGTGCATTGGTCGGTGTTGCCGCTCGCCTCCACCACAACTATCGGCCAAGCACGGTACACCCACCTCGCCCGAGAGGAGGATGTGGTGAGCGACCTGGTCGGTGATCCGGTGCTCGCCGGCTGTGGGATGGGTGGTGCTGCTCCTCTCTCACCGGTGGTGATTTTTTTCTTGCAACATCCTCCCTGCTGCAAGAAAGATTCTGCAACATCACTAATGTTGCAAAACATTCTTCTGTAAACACCTATATAAAGGTAAACGGCCAAGTGATTGGGATTATCCGTGATTCCTGAGCCGTCACATGAGCTTGTCGTGCAAATTTTTTGGCAACCATCACACTTGCGAACGATGTCTGCGTGAGTTGTAAGCCAATAGAAACCATGCTGGAAAGCTTTTGCCACCAAGGACCGTGAGCCGACATGATGCGCGCAATCACCAGAATGAATTTCACCGAGAATTTAACGGCCTTCCTCAGAAGAAACACAGCGTTTACAAGACAAAAAAATTCTGCAACAATAGCTCTCTTGTAAAAAATTGCATTAATACCTTCACCGCATAAGTTCTGCAACATGAACTATATTGCAAACGTTCAAACGCAACATCATCATTGTTGCAAAGCAGACAGTTGAATCTAACGGCCATCTTAGAGCATCTCCAACAGCCGCGCAATGCGCCGCGCGCTAAAAGTCACGATACAGCGCTGGCTTAGCCAGCTTTTGCGCGTGGCGGGGCGCTGGCTCCAGCGGCCGCTGCAAATTAAAGCGCGCCCACGCCGCTTCAGCAGGCACGCTATATTTCAGTTTTTTTCCTACTACGATTCGATACATATTTGGTTTCGTAGATAGTTCTTCTACTACTAAACTACTCGTCCGACTCGGACTCTGTCTCGGTGATGTCCTCCTCCGACGTCGGAGCGTAGGCGTCAAGGAACCGCTCGTCGCCAGAGTTCCAGGAGGACGCATCTCCTAGCGCTTGGTTGTATTTAGCGATCTCCTTCCGCGTTCGCTTGTCCTCGCGATAGTCGGCTCGCTCCTTCCTCCTCTTCGCCCTCCTCTGGACGAAGAACTGTTCCTCGTTGGTGTCTTCCGGGAAGTGATGGCTCCACAACGCCATGGCTTGCTCGTCCATCTCGGCCAGCCTGAGACAATGCTCCCGCTCCGGTGCTTGCGACGATCCTCGTCGGTGAGAAGCCGCGGGAAAGGCGCCAACTCCTGTGCACGCTCCCGCGTCGCCACATCGGCGAAGTTCATGTCCTGACGGGACCGCAGGAGGTGCCACGCCGCAGCGTCGTACGCGCGGGCGCCTTCCTGGGCGGTGTCGAAGGTTCCGAGACGGAGCCGCATGCCGTCGCCCGACCGAATCTCGGCGGAGTAGGTGCCGGACGGACGCACGCAGACGCCGCGGTAGCCCGTACCTCCCCGGCGGCGAGGCGGCATGGTAGCGCGGTGATGGCGTGTCAACGGCAGAGGGCGATGGAGAGATGGAGAGAGCGGTAGAGGGCGCTGCAATTTATAGGCGCGCCAAACGCGGCGCGCCAAATGTAGCGCGCGAGCTGCCGCCTTTTCCCCCACGCGCAATCGTTTCCCACGCGCGCTAATTTCCCGCCACCGCTAGAGCGCGCGAAAATGTCCCGCGCGCGTCTTTTGGCGTGGCTGGCTGTTGGAGATGCTCTTATATTGAATCCAATAGCTCACAAGGCAGATCCGCGGGCCCACACGTAGTGTTGCCCTTTTAAATTTGGCGGGACGGTGGGCGCACGCGGGAGCGCCGCGGTGCGCCTTGTTTGATGGGCGTCGTACAACGTCGACTGAACGAACCTAGATGGTATCGATCGTCCCGGTCCAATCCAATCCACTCCGCTATCCGTACGTCTGCATCATCTCATGTCACTTTTTCACTAGCCTAGCCGTAGCCGGCCCGCTTTAATTAATCGGTACTCCAAACTCCGTAAACTAATTAGCATCTCGCTTAATCATTTGCTGGGCTGTGGTGCACATTGCTGACCCAGATTGATTGTAGACTATCTTTGTCCAAGATGCAAAAAAGAGGGAAATAAATGATGAACTTGCCACCCAATTTGACTGTTTTGCATTGCTTATCGAGACTCATGTCATGGTGTGGCGACCAACCAAACGCTCCTAGTTGCTATTTCGGCAAACACAAAGTGAGCCATATGCCACCGCTGGTATGGTAGTCCTACACAACAACATCGAAGCCACGAGAGGGAGACACAGTTTCTGCTCCGGGCCATTAGCAAACGTACGTATTTATATTTATTTACATATACACGGGAACTCCCAGAGGGTTCAGTTGGTTCAGCCAGGTGATTGCCGCGCCTACCTACTCATTGCAGTGCTGCAAAAATGTACAACTCTCGGTCTCCACCTGGGAGGAATGGAGTTTCAGCACCATGCGTGTCGACGAACTGTCGTTTAGGCTTCAGTATGTATAGTGTGGTCGCTTAGTTAGGGAACTGGCTGGGAACCTTCAGGCAGGAAAGCTCAGGGAACGCGTCCTAGCACTCTTTGCACCGCCTTCTTCACGCCCTCCTGGTCTAGGCTCGTCGTCAGGTACACTTCCTGGACCTGCATATATGCCGAGTTGAAGAAAGATCATCTATGAATATTTGGCCTACAGTTTGAAAGCGACAAGACAAGGTGTTTATGCGTGTGATATATGGACAATATATAGTTTCTCAAACTCCAGGGTTTTGGCAGTGATATATGGCTCGTCGTGAGGTGCACTTGTTTTGGCAGCTTGCGCATTGCAGGCATATCAAGCAATGTATAAACAGGTTGGTTATGCAGCTGTGTGGCATGTGCTGTAAACACTGGCTTCTCATTCCATGGCTTCACACATGTACAGCTGCATAAAAAGAGCCCTTCCCTTCTGCTGCTCGCTCTCAACAGATGGCAGTGTTTACGACTCGCATGACATATCAATAGATAAGTTGTGATCAATGGCTCTTCTCGAAACATAGATTATGTTGTTCTATGGAATGTAGTATTTGTTCTGTTGACCAGGGACCGAAAACCTATCCACATACTTGCAGTCCAGTAGTACAATGGAACTGCCTACCGAAAGAAAATAATAATACATACTATGTATCAAATAAGAAAGCCAACCTGTCTCCCAGCTCGAGCAAGAAGCTTGTACTGGTTGTCCTTAGCTGGCACCTGCATAACGAACGAGAGACCCAATACATCACCATACTCGTCATGTGGCAACTTCGATGAGTAATAAAATTAGTGTGCTTTAGGACGATACATACGCTAGAAAGCCAGAGCTCTAGATCTTGTGAAACCACACGTTTCTCCAAAGCCTGCCGCCCGAACCGCACATCTGTTATACTGTGAAGAAAATACAATATATTAACACACAAGATCACGGCAGAACCTATACATACATGTATACCATGGTTCTAGTCAAGAAGAAAAGGACACTGCTCTTAAAGTGGTACACCAACAATAAACAACTGGATAACACATTCAAACAGAACACATACCCGTCCTCTTGTAGAAGTTCATTACATATACCGTCAAGTCCTGGAAGAAGTTCAATTTCTGGAGGAGATGATGCGGTCTCAGAATCAGGTGATAGGTCGGGTTCCTACAAAACATGATTGTTAACTGCATGAGTCCACTCCTAAACGAACGAAGTTGAGTAGTAAAACATCCTGAGACACTGTGTATTCAGCAACTGACCAAAGGAATAATTTTGTCCAATGTCTCCAGCAGAGGATCTTCCTCCAATTGCCTGATTGATAAACCAATCCTTGACTTCTCCCTGTTTGTGTAGGGAATGCAAGTATGTCAGATCGTTTAACATGATTTTCTGATTCAAGATAAGACGCCCATTGTTTTTTGATCTCACTTGTAAGAAACAAAAGGAAAGCATGCCTGAAACAGATTCATTTAATTCTGTTCATCTACCCCTAAAACACTGTGCATTATAGTTGCACGGCATTAAGATCATATTCCTGATGTGCATTTTTTTTATCAATTCTAGCATCCATGAATGCCATTATCCAATATATTAGGTTTATTACCACAAACCAACTAGATTGCACTAGGATGCAGGCGATTTTACTGAGAAAAAAATACACCACTAGGATACTTACGCATCAACATTCACCACTATGACCTTGACGATATCGCCTTCAGTTAGAAAATCTTGGACATCTTGGACAAGATCCCAAGAGACCTCAGAGATATGTACGAGACCAGTGAGATGATACTTTCCTGTTTGAGCATAGTTGCCGTCAATCTCTATGTGAAATAAAATATTTAGAACAGAAGTGACCAAGGCTACTGCCAAATAGTACCATCAGGAAATCGCAGGTGAACAAATGCACCATAGTGGAAGACAGAACCAACAATTCCATCATAGGTACCGCCAATCTTTACTTGAGAAGAGTACATTGACCAACTGGCATCCTTCTCAGAGAATACAAGCTTCTTTTCTGCCTCATTTGCTTCAACTACCTATAGCAATTAGCAACAGCAAGTGGAACCCTGAAATCTGGTGCTCATTTGGTAGAAATACCGAAGTATATAATATTTTAAGGCACAACCAAAACTGTCGGTGTAACTACCAAATATGTGTCTGATCATGGGAAATAGGCTGTAATTGATAGGGCCAGGCTACTATCAGAACGAAGTTTACTAGAATTGAAGAAAATTGAAGGACAGTTTCTTGGAGCTATAAACCCAGTTTACTATTGCTGTAGTCTACCTCTACTGCCAAATGCAGTAAGTAAAACCAAAACATGGCAATAGTTCATGTCACGGTATAAGGTCAACTTTATGGAGCATATTCTAATTGTTACAAACTTAAACCAGCATGCCATTTGCCCTACTATGTAGAACACACATAGTCAAAAAAGTGAGTCTACCATCCACTTAATTAGTAAATACAGTTGCTAGCATGCCGGAAGGATACGATTAAAAAAAAGCATGGAGAAAGGAACAAAAAAATCAGTTACCTTGACAGAAACAGAGGAACCTACTAGGTCCTTTGTAACATCTTGAATGGGCCTTTTGGGATCTGCAAACCAAAACAGACATGGACCATAAATTAAGTCACAGCAGCCGCAATCCACTCTTGAATTGTTTCCATTTGTAACTACGGTCGGCTCAAAGTAGTGGGGCGGGCAGATTGAGTAGATAATCAACTGGAAGGAGGAGGAAAGGGTACCTTTACACCAATGGGCGGGGCTGAGGAGAGGATTGGGCACGAAGCCCTGCATGGAGTTGTATTTCAGGATGAGCCCGCCGGTGTTTGAGCGCAGCACCGGCAGCGTGAGGATCTTCCCCTGTTCCTTGTCTGCGCGCACAGCCTTCCAGTCCGCCGCGAACTGCAAGCATCACGGCAGTCTCAATAGTGTCCTGTGATGAATGATACCCCCAGCCGGCATTGCATCGAACAGCTCCCGCGCACCACAGCAACTGCCAAGAACGGCCACCGGGGAAGCGTGGGCTGGCAGCAGGCAGCAAGGAAACAGCTGAGGCGAGGCTGTGCGTGCGTACCTGGGCCAGGCGCGCCTCCTCGAACGCGGCGGAGACGGACGCGGCGTCCTCCTGGCTGACGGTGGCGCCCTCGGACGCGGCCGCCGAGAGGCGGACCCGGCCGCGGCTGGGAAGAAGGGAAGGGAATGAGGCGGCGGGCGGCGCGGGGGCGCGGGAGGACGGGGAGATCGCCGCGAGGGAGGGCGGCGGCTTCAGGGACGCGGACAGCATTTCGTACGCCGGCGGTGAGCGGTGGGCGGTGGCTGCTGGTGGTGGTGAGGAACGAGTGGCCGTGGACGGGGAGCGCGGGACGCCAGGAGTGGGGATCCGTTTGCGTTCGGTTCGGATGGACGGATGGATTTGATCGGCGCGTTTGATTGGGTGGGAGCGAGCAGTCCATCCCCGTCCCGTGGTGGCCGCGCGCGCGCGTGTCCAAATCCTCCCCTGCATTTTCTTTACTGATTTTCTTTTATATTCAACTTTGAGAATTAAGTCTCATTGATGCTATATTCGTGAGATCTTACGTTGAGACCCGTGCAAAATTTTCTTTTTTATTTTCTCCTTTGTATGTTATGTCACTTGACTGAGACTTGGTTAAATCTCAGTCGATTGCGACATTTTTTTTTAGAAAAGGAGGATGACCCCCGGCCTGTGCATCTGGGCGATGCATACGGCCACACCCTTATTATTTTGATAAAATAGGGTTTTAATGGCTGAAAACGTGGCATCATACAAGTGCAAAGAGTTTAGTCCCCTTGAAAATAAAGTCATTCCTGGTTATCCAGGTAGGATTGTTCTCTGTCTCCCTGATCATAATTCAAAGCGTGTGTGATGTGTTCAATAAAAAAGACGACATGCATGGGGAGAGCGGCCTTCCTGCACGCAGCGACAGATGCACGCAGCGCACCGACGACCGCGGTGCGCGAGGTGATGTGTGCAAAAAAAAACGTGAAAGTAAGCAAAGCGGGCATACATTCGATCGATACACGCAAATACGCAGCAGACGTCGCTTTCAGTGGGGTCGCCTGGTACGGTTTTGATGTACGCAGGGGCCGGTCCGCTCAGAGCATGCAGGGAAAGGCCTGCAGGGCATGACTTTTATTACGTCGCGGGCCCAACTCTAGTTTTAGTACTAAAATGGTTGTGTGTACCTAGCTTAGGCACTGTACTTACGAATATGGTGTCCACGCTCGCATGTGAAAGCTGCCGTTCTGACACGTTGTCGTGAGGCTTTTTACCGTGCATCCAGGCGCCAGTGCATGTCTCGGAGCTCATCGGTGACTGATGTATGACTATATGTGGACAGATTTATTGATTGAAAAGCTAATTTCAGAATGGTATTATATTCATTCTCTTGCCCAAAGATACAACAAGCTATTCACTGCCTACTGAGTGCACACCATTCTTGTTTTCTCAAAAAGAAGTGCACACCATTCTCAATTTTTTACTAAAACCTTTTGCCTAGCTTGGACATTTGTAGAATCGGATACTTGTTCAGTGCAACATAGTGCCTGGTTCGGGTATTTGTAAAACCGGATGTCTGGGTTCCGGTCTGTCCCGGACAGAAACCACCTTCTCCTGGTCCCGGGGCACCTTGGGCAGAAGATCAATGGCAGCCGTGGTAGAGCTGTCCGGAGACGGCGAGCAGAAGACGAACTTTGAGGCATCCTGGGTCAATCACGGTGGATTAGACAAATGGGCCGCTTGTGTGCTTGTGTGTAGTTGAAACAGCTAGTGGAACCGGTCAATGTTGTCCTACGACGTGTGAGCGTGATTGATCAGGGTGCATGGGGCGTCTGGGGCGTGTAGCAGCCTTATGTCAGACAGTGCTGTCAGATTGGTGCTTTGAATACGCGTATACCATGCAAACCAAAATCCAACGTCCCGCTATACTCTAAGTAGCACGCCGTGCCGATGCGAATCGTGAAAGGACGCGCACCATCGATGCCGTGCGTGCAGCTGCCACTGCGTCTAGCGATGCACTTCTCCATGCATGGGATGAGAGAAAAGAAGAAGCGCGAGAAAGAAGAGAGTACAAGCGTGAAGGCGTATGTGGTTTGTGGAGCGATGAGGCGTGGAATGTTATACATTTTGGAGAGGAAAATTGAAGGTTTGGATGGGGAGAAGAGCGGGAAGATGAAGTAAAAGAATCATGTCATCGGCTAGGGACTGAATCAATCATGCCTCCTTTGATTTTTTTAAGAGATGGATATAAAATATAATGGCATGTTTGATGATAGTGGATTTTTATGCAAATGGGTGCACGTGCATCCAGTTATTCGAAATAATCAGAACGCACAAGCGTAAGTGAAAGGATCGATATGGTTGACTAGAGGGGGGGGGGGTGAATAGGCAACTAACAATTTTTAGCTTTTCTTTAACAATTTAAACTTTGCATCAAAGTAGGTTGTCTAGATATGCAACTAGGTGAGCAACCTATATGATGCAACAAGGATAGGAACACACGCAAGCAAGAGATATAACACAAATAAGCTTGCACAAGTAAAGGCACAAGATAACCAAGAGTGGACACGGTGGAGACGAGGATGTGTTATCGAAGTTCCTTCCCTTTGAGGGGAAATACGTCTCCGTTGGAGCGGTGTGGAGGCACAATGCTCCCCAAGAAGCCACTAGGACCACCGTATTCTCCTCACGCCCTCACACAATGCGAGATGCCGTGATTCCACTATTGGTGCCCTTGGAGGCGGCGACCGAACCTTTACAAACAAGGTTGGGGCAATCTCCACAACTCAATTGGAGGCTCCCAACGACACCACGAAGCTTCACCACAATGGATTATGGCTCCGCGGTGACCTCAACCATCTAGAATGCTCAAACACCCAAGAGTAACAAGATCCGCAAGGGATTAGTGGGGGGAATCAAATTTCTCTTGGTGGAAGTGTGGATCGAGGCCTTCTCAACCACTCCCGAGCAAATCAACAAGTTTGATTGGCTAGGGAGTGAGATCGGGCAAAAATGAAGCTTAGAGCAACAATGGAGCTTAGGGTTGGAAGAGATAAGTCAACGGGGAAGAAGGGGACCCCTTTTATAGTGAGGGACAAAGATCCAACCGTTATTCACCTACCAGCCCGCGGCCAGCGGTACTATCGCGCCAGGCCAGCGGTACTACCGTGGGGCCACGCGGTACTTCCGCTTGCTGCCAAGCGGTACTACCGCAAGGTCACGCGGTACAACCGTGCAGGCCTGCGGTACTACCGCTGCACTAGCAACAGCTAAGGAGGACCTGTAGCACAAGTGCCGAGGGCGGTACTTCCACGGGCGCGGTACTACCGCTCCCCCTTGCGGTACTACCACAAGGCAGGAACCCCTTAGCCTGGGAAGAGTGTGGATAAAGAAACATCCGTGCCTACTTCCGCTGAAAAACGAAAGAAACAAAAACCCAACACAGTACTACCGCAGAGGGGCGGTACTACCGCTTGACAGCCGAGCATGGTACTACCGCGGAAGGAAAGCGGTACTACCGTGGTGGGCGCGGATGTAAAAAATTACATCCGCCCCTACTACCACGGGGGAGCGGTACTAGCCTGGTGGGCCACGGTAGTGCAGCTCCAGGGGAGTGGTACTACCGTGGGCACCTGCGGTACTACCGCGCCGCAGCACGGTACTACCGCTGGTCCGCTGAAAAATGGAAGAAGCAAAAACCCGACACAGTACTACCGCAGAGGGGCGGTACTACCGCCTGACAGTCGAGCACGGTAGTACCGCGGAAGGAAAGCGGTACTACCGTGGTGGGCGCGGATGTAAAAAATTACATCCGCCCCTACTACCGCGGGGGAGCGGTACTAGCCTGGTGGGCCACGGTAGTGCAGCTCCAGGGGAGCGGTACTACTGTGGGCACCTGCGGTACTACCGCGCCGCAGCACAGTACTACCGCGAGCCACCACAATAGCCAGAAACAAGGACGGAGGAAGCTCCAAGGTGCAAGGGAAAGGAGGGGACAAGGAAGAAACGTGTACGTGATGATTCCACCCAAACCTTTCTGACATGGACCCCTTCTTAATAGTACGGCTTTCCTACGACTCAAATCCACCAAAAAGAAACGTAGAAAAGACGCCGTCTTCAATAGTCTTCGAGGGGCACCCAACCATCTTGTGCCTAGCGATGAAACGTCTGGGATACTCAAGGCACACGATTAGTCCGCAAACGCATTGTCATCAATCACCAAAACACCTTAGGAAAAAAATATGCCCTTACAATCTCCCCCTTTTTGGTGGATTGATGATAACACAGGATTTGCACAATGGAAATAATATTAAGGAAACGCAAACCCCTCCTCTCTAGAATATAGACGGGCTCCCCTAGATGTGTGCCAACTAGATGGTTTCTTTGGACTGCACGACACACATACTAGGATCAAAGCTCCCCCTATATTATAGAGACAAGGCATATCTTGCAATAGAAAGGCTAACACTAGACAAGATAGCACAAACAAGTTAACTAAAATAGACTAGAGTGCATATGACTTACACCATATGTAGGAAAAGTCTCGAAGGCACAAACCACACAAAGACAAACGAGGCAAACGAGGTTCAAACGACAAAGCAAACACACCAAGCACGACACAACGCAAATCCCTACACTCTCTCCCCCTTTGGCATCGAGACACCAAAAAGGCAGAGAGGACACCTAAACACACGGGGTGGCTCGGGCAGAGAAGTCATCCCACTGCTCCTCATGCTCCTCGTCCGACTCAACGGCGGGGACGGACTCCTCGATGTCCTCCTCTGAACTGGTCCACTTGTAACCCTTCTTCGCCATCCGGGCAGCCTCTGGCATGATGACAACCTCAGAACCGCCAGAGACATCCTCTCCAAAGAGCCTCATAACCTTCTTGTCATGGCGGCGACTCTCCTTGTCTGCCACGTGAGTCCTGTACTGTCCCTTTGCCTGCATGCAGAAGAGAGTCTTCATCTTGTTCTTTAACTTCTTGGCCCACAACGGCTCAGAGGAAGGTGTGGTAGACCTAACAGCATGGTCCTCAGCAACATTCTCTGCACCAGCCTCCTCCTCACCACCAGCCCTTCTAGCAGTAGAAGCCTCAGCACGGGTAGTAGTGTTGGCCCAGTTGGGCTTGGCGCGGAGACTGATGGACTCATGCCGAATCCAGCCTGGAGCAAGAAACTCATCACCAGGGTACATTTTCTCCCAAGTTGTGGAGAGCAGCAGAAATAGGTACGGTCCATAGATAGGTACCTTGCGGGTGAACACCG